TCATTAAAACTTATTCTATTAGGATTTATATCTAATAAATTGTAATAAAAAAATAATGTACACTTACAGTAAAAATTCCTGATCTGTACATTTCTAAGACTTCATTTAGCACCAACAATCCCCGATCTTTACCGAGGAAATTGTCCAAAACACACACACCATACTGGGTCATGTCTCTGATGACCCTCTGGCAGATCTCATAACTAGGATCACTTGTGTCAGCATAGAAGTTATTCATCATAAAGGCCCCACTACCCTTCAGCGACGCTTCTGGGTACTCCTTCATTTTAGAATGTGTTTCAGGAACATACACAGGAATTGGAGGCATTTTTGCATTAGTTCTATTTACAGTCTTCAAAACATTAGTTGTGGCTGTCGCAAAGTCAACAGTGCTAAGCTGTTGAGCGGATTCGTTCAGAATCTCCTGCTCTGATGAACCTTCGTGAATAATGGCACTCTGTTTTGTCAAGTCTTTATTTGTATACACTACACTAGATATGACACTGTCCTTTAAATCTGAAGAACCGACTTTTAAATTACTTTTAACACTTTCGTCTCCTTCAGAAGTTTGTAATTGTTTACTTTCATTCGTTTCCGCACTACCTTCTTTATTCACGTTTTTTCTTTTCGATTTCTTCAACTGTCTAACTTCACTACCCTCTTGCTTTGCAGGTCCAACGGTCTCACTTTCTTCTTTATTAGCTATAATCTCTTTCTCGACTTTTTCCTTCGTCGGAGACGACTTATGGACAGAGTTAACGTTATCCGTAGCCTGTTTTGGTAACTTTGAAACACACTCGCTTTTATGTCTGCGCCAATCTTGTCGTTGGTGTTCCGTGTTACAATAGTAAATATTAAGACAGCGACCGCACCGACGATGGGTCTTCTCTCTGCAAACGGCGCAACAAGCGAGTACGCTTTCTTGATTCATTCTGAAATAATTTCTTATCCCTGGCCGGTCCCCAACGACTGTCAAAATCAAAGTCAAAAGGAAGTGTCAAACCAAAATATTTTTAGTATTTCAAGCATTAGATATCAGGTTTTGAACATCCAATCAATTTTTCGACACTTTGTTTTCTACGTTATTCCAAAGTAACACTTTAAAATTAATTTGCATCCTTTCTTACTTTTCAACTGAACACAAAACTTTACTTTTTTGTGGATATCACAAATCGATATTCTTCTTTTTATGACATTATGCACTTCTCTATTATCGTCATAAGTGACAGGTGTCAATGTCAGTGTTATGAACTCGTTTCATTATTATTATTGAATGTGTTTTTTGCAATAATTTATGTGATACGTACTTTGGTTGCGGTCGTTACACTGAAAATAATAAACCTGTAAGATTTAACCAAAATCTTACTTAAAATCGTGTTCGTTGCCAATTGATTGAATTGAATTGATGAATAAGTTGCAAGTAAAAATTGTTCTATAAGGAAAGAATGCAACAATTGGTCCATACATAGATGGTTTGTTTAACATTCAGATACTCAAATCTTTATTGGTAATGTTTCTCATGTATGTAGCTAGCAAAAGGAATAATAATCGAAGCTTTGAGTTTTGCAATTTTATCCCAAAATATTCTCACAGCAACTGTCCAACAGAGACTGGTTTCCTATAAGATTTTCAGTAATCTATTAAGACATGGATTTACACTCAATCCCTAATGCCTTATTTAAGCAGTTTTTTTTGGAAATTAATGTGAGTGACAAATGCTTTATATAAAGGTATTTTAGAGTGAACTTACCATATACTTACCATATGTAGCTCAATAGAGTTGAGCAATTCCAATATAGTATGGTGAATTACATCAATAAGTAAAATAAAAATTCCTTTTCTTTTCTATAAAATTATTTATTTTAAGGAAGTAAACATACATATAGTAAATTCATTGTTTATTACAATACATTTTTTGTAGAAATATCTATTGGTCAGAAGAATAATGCAATAAAATAATATGATTAAGTAAAGAAAATAATTGCAAGAAGCATACCAGTTTATATTAAATTATAAAATTTTATTTACATAACAAATTAAATTAGGCCATAATCAAAAAGTTAATGCCAGTGTTGAATAAGAGCAGACTAGATTAGTTTTACGTCCAGTTTCATGGCAATTTATAAAGAACTGAATAAAAAAAATTACATTTAGAGGGATTATCAAGAATATTTGTGAAAACATTTTCGTAATTCGACGTTACGAAGATGTTCTCGCTGTCATGTATTCGTGATTGACCCTCTGAGCTGGACGTAAGGAACTAAAAGTAGCGTAAAGGCGTTCGTCGCATTTTAGCGACGCACGTCTGTTCGCCATCTTAAAAGTAGATCTACTAGAATCTAAGATTTTATGCTAAATTTACAATAAATGTCAAATGCCCAATATGGAATTTTTGACAAATACTTATTCTACACGGAAGTAAAACCTTGGTATGGTACACGCTGGCCTCTCATCTTATCAAAATATAGTAAAAGTGTTGACAATTTGCAGATAAACTTTAGAACCAATCGAAACAAAGAAATCTAAATGTATGGTCAAATTTATTTGTAGAAACGAGAAATTATAACTAAATAAACTTTTAAGGTTGTAATCACAGACTTATTAAAAAAACAGACATATTTGTATAATCAATTGAAACTCTGAAACTAAAATAAATCCATAGACAATAAAACATTGTCAGCCAGTGAAATGTGTATATAATTTCACATTTCTTTTGGATTAGACTATATTTAGGAATACCATGTTAGTTATCAAACATTTTGCAGTCAATTGTATTTGCCAAGGTTCTACTTTCGTGTCCACAGCTATATTAGAGTTTGTTAAACTATTAAAGATAAACAATAACTATAAATAAGTATAAAAAGTGTTTTGCATCACACTCTATGTACAAGGCGATTTATTGATTCACATAATAATTGTATGTAGAAGTAACGGGGAGTAAGTGCGACAATCATGCTTTATTTAAATATAAACATTTAATAGTTTATACGATATTAAATTTTATTTAAGAATCTGTGCGAAATGTGATACAGATGGAAGACAAAAAAGACTTCATATTTAATACATAGATGAATCTAATTAAACCTATATATTTTAATAAGTCAAGTAGCAAATCGAATTGAAATCGAATGAATTCGATTTGCCGCATTTGAAATGTACAATTGCAATTTCATCTATGTTACTCAGAACTCTAACAGTTATTTGGACCCTATTTAATTTTTATAACTTGTTCTAAATTTAAAATTACGCGCCAAAGCACGCTTCAAGGCGATTCATAAACAAGTAGAGATGCACTGACAGTTGCACCATTTGCTTTTTTTTATTTTATTTTAATCGCTTATTGTACTTTTTAATCGATAATACAAATAAAATACACGAAACACTATACGAAGAATATAATCGTGTTTCGTAATTTGTTTTGGTGAACAACAAAATGCAGTGCTATAAGTGTCTCTGGAGTAGAGTAACGTAAATGTCAAATTTGATAGCTACAGTTTATACTCTCGGAGTATCACTTTCCTCATTAGAATTAGGGGAGTGTAAAGCTCTGGCCAGTTCGGCTTTCTCGTTGGCGGAGAGGACGTAGACCGGCGGCGCCTGCGGCAGGAAGC